TGGCAGTCTTCTGATTGGCCAGGTCTTGCATGCGGAGGTCAGCCCCATGGAAGGGCTGGAAATGGGTTTCTCTCACCAAAAACGGGAGTGGGGTGTCATTCTCCAAAGCAAGGGACGCTAGCAAACTGACAATTCTAATAAGGCATGAACTGCTGGTGCTGGCCTGCCAACACGAGGTTATGAGTCCCAAAGTGCACAGCTGGGTCGGGGCTGGAAGTAGAATTCTGCAGGCTACTTCTACCCTGTCTGTAGTGCCAGGTGAACTGCTGGGGCTTTGGAAAGGAATACAAGGTAGGAGATGCCCCCACGATTGTTAGTAAACTGATTAAATCTACAACAAAACATTACTGGCTTTCTTATAATCACCACGTTAAGTGATTTAAGAAAATAAAACTTTTTCTTGAAAAGAATCTCTAGCCTACTCTGTAGGCTTGAGAAATACTATATCCTAGATAATTCAGTGCCAGAATTAGTCATTGGGCACGCCAGTAACTGCTGCTGTTCTTAAGGTGGCACCCTCTGCCAGAACAGCACTAAGGAAATCAAGTATTTTGATATAAGAAATTTTTATATGTTGAAGTGTATGGGGAAGCCATTCCAATTTGAACTTGATTTGGCATGAATTTTGTTTGAACCAAAGAAGCCTGACTTACAGCCTGTCAAACATACATTGTACATCTGCTTGAATCATTATCCTAAAGAATGTACTCTTTGAAGACAAGAATAAATGCCTCCCTTCTTATGACACCAGTACTCTTTTGAAGATAGGTCCCCCTTCCCGTGACACCAGGGTCATGTTGACCCGCTGTGTACATGCTAATCTGTAACAAAATATCTCCTTGAATCCTTGAAAGAATGTACCCCTGTCATGCTTGATGTGTGTCTCTTTGTTTGGAAATGGTGTATAACCGTGCTGAACATCACTCATCTCCAGAGCACTTTCTTCCCTTGCGAAGGCTGTGACTCCTGGGCTGTAGTCCTCAGTTAACTCAAATAAAACTCTCTCCTTTTCTTTTGCAATAGAACGATTATTGATTATTTGCATCAACAATTTCAACAGGCCTGCTAGGCTGCTCTTCCTTTTTGCAGACATGGGGAGTTCTGGCATTACCTTTGGGTTCCACTATAGTGCTCTTTGTTGCATGTTGTGATCCTTCAACAGGCTTATGGGTTACTGCCCATTCTCTCCTTGGAAGCAGTGGTTGGGTGGCAGTGCTGGGTGGCTTATGCCCAGGGGTCTAGGAGCACCCCATATGCACAAGTATGAGCTTTGTTTCATAGCTTTAGGCAGGTTTGGGGATTCAATTCAAGGTTGAGGGAAGGTGAGGGCAGTTGGCAACCCTAGAACTAATGGAATTCCTTAACTGCAGTATCTTCTGACCTTAGAAAGGAAGGGAGTCACCTTTCAGATAATAGACTGAGTTCCTTCAAGTGGTCAGTTTTTAGCTGAGATGTGGAGGGAGGACAAATAACTTTCCACTCTGCCCACATCCATTCCCCTTCTCTGAATATCTTACAGCATTTAATATTTCCACCATATCATATGCAGAATGACCTCACTTATTTCCTAGACCTCATCTAGTCTTGACTTAGTTAACATGCAATTCTAGTAGGTTGGTTATTTTTCCAAGTCTTTGACAGATTAGAAACAGTAAATTATGTGTGCATCAGAAAGGGATGTTCTCCCTTAGAGGAAGAATAGCATTCATTTAGCAAATACTTATTGAACTCCTGTTTTGTGCTAGGCATTAGGGATACAGTAGTAAGCAAAACTCCTGTGCTCATGGAGCTTATAGGCACTAGACGAATAATTACAGAAACTATTACAGTTGTGATCAACGCTATAAAAGAAAAGCCGAGTGCTTTGTAGAGCTTACAGCAGGAGGACCAAACCTAAATTGTTGGGATCATGGAAGGTCTTCAGAAGAAGAGACTTAAGCTGAGACATGAAATGAACATTATACAGGCCAAAAAGGGGGAGGGAGTGTGAGAAGCTTGGAACCCAGGAAACTGCAAGAAGCCAGTGTAGTTTGGGCAGAGAGGGCAGTATGGTGTGAGATGAGTATGCAGCGGTAGGCAGGGGCCAGACCAAGCAAGGCCTCTTGGGTCACATTAAGGATTCTCAACCTAAACATAAGCAGAGCTTTGAGCAGGGAAGTGACATAGATTTACATCTTTATAGGATCATTCTGCTTGGCATGTGGGCAATAGATTGAAAGGAGGCAGGAATGGATGTAGGTGGAAGAAAAAAATGATATTATTGGAGTCTAGGGGAGAGAGGTATACTGCATACTGGGCAACTGCATACCTGTATACTGCATACTGGGCAACTTTGAGGCACGAGCAGAAGGTAAAATCAATGGGCTTAAAAGTGGGTTAGGTGTGTCAAGTGAAGGGGAGGCAGGGGTCAAAGAAGATCCCAGATTTCTGGCATGAGAAATTCAATGGATGCTGGTGACATTTACTAAGACACTAGAAAAGAATTTGGAGGGCTTGTGAATTCTGTTTCGGACATGTTGACTGAAATGTGCATGTGAGATACCCAGGTGGAGACACAGAGGTAGTTGGAGAGATGGGTCTGGAGCTCAGAAGAATGGTCTGGGCCGGAACTATAAATTTAGTAGTATGTATTTGGAGTAGAGATGGAAATTAAAGCCAGGGGCTTGGACAAGATCGCTTAGGGAGAGAGTATGGTACTACAAGAGGGCCTAGCACTGAGCACTGAAGAAATCTACCATCTAAAACTGGAGTGGAGGTGATGGTGAGCACACTGATGAGATATAGAAGAGTGTGGTAGCCAGGCTCCAACATAGACTCCAATGATCCCTGCCCTCCTGCTACTTACGTCCTTGTGTAATCTCTTCCCACGTGGAATAGGGTAACCTGTGTAGCCAATATGATATTGTGGAAATGACAGTCCATGACCAAGGTTGTGGCCTATGAAAACTTTCAAGACCTCAGAGAGACCTAAGGTGGTGCCTTAGAGAGCTGTTCAAACAATAAGGCTTCTAAGAAGCTTAAGGGTATTGTCCCTCAGCAGTCTGTGCAGAAGCTCAAGGTAGAGAAGGACTTATCTCAAAAGAATTTGTGGGTGTGGCTTTTGCCTAATGGAGTGAACTGCAATAAGACTCCTAAGAGACACATAAAGGGGTCAAAATAATTATATTCACAGCAACACTATCAGCTTGGACTGAAAGGGATAAAGTACAAAACATAAAGAGGCCTTTAGACTCCTAAAATTCTACTTGCAGGAAGCAGGCTGAGAAAACTATGTAGCTGTCACTGTGTGCTACCTTTCATGGAAAAGGAAGGATGACTCAGAGCATGGAGCCAAGAGCCCAGACTCCAAGACGGCCCCCAGCACCCCCTCCTTCTGGTACTCACACATTTGGGTAATTCCCTCACACTGAATAGGTCTGACCTGCATAACCAGTATATTGTGGAGTGCCACTGGGTGACTTTTGAGGATAAATAATGAAAGACATCACAGCTTCCACTTTGCTCTCTTGGATCACCTGCTCTGTGGGAAACCAGCTGCCACGTTATGAGGACATTCAAACAGTCCTACAGAGATGCCCACCTCACACCTCGCATGGATGAATCATCCCGGAAGTGGATCCTCCAGCTCAAGTTTTCAGATGACTGTAGCGCCAGCTGACATCATGAGATGACCCTCACGAGACTCAAAGCAAGAGCTGCCCAGTTAAGCCCAAATACCTGACCCACAGAAACTAGGAGGTAGGACTTGTTGTTTTAAGATGATATGACTTGGGGCAGTTTGTTACATAGTCATAATATGAGAAAGAACACAAGAGTGTGAGTTCATGAAAAGTAAATGAACCATGTTTCAAGGAGAGAGGGGACAATTGTGTCAAATGTTGTGGAATGGCCAAATGTCTCATATCTGGATGACAATAAAGCCTATATATAGATCCTGAATTGCATTCAGACAGCTTGACTGTGGAAACCAAAAACAGGCAAAACCCCACTATACTTGGTTTAAGAAAACTGAAAGTATCTTTCTTTTGAAGGACTTTATTAAAAACATGTTTTGAAAATCTGCGATACCTCTCCACGACCATAGATAAATATTTTACTGTACTTGTCTGGTCTATCGGTGACCTTCTCATATGGACATACCATGTCATTACTAGACTGTAAGTCTGTAGAGGGCAGAGAAACCTGCCTATCGCATCTGGAGTGTTAGATACACTGTGGGTATCAATCTTTTCATACAAATAAACCCCGGACTGAAGCAATAGCTTCTTATGATATAAAAGCCTCCAAAAATATTTTACTAAAAATAATCACACACCACCATCTCATTTTTATGTTGCGATTTATAGATTAAAAGTACTTTCACCACATCTTATTTTATGCTCACAACACACCCTGCGAGGTGGGTAGCTGTGTTTACAGAAAGGGCAAAGAGTCATTCCCATTTCCCAAACGAGGAAACTGAGGTCTAAAGAGGCTTCAGTTACTTGGTTAAGGCCACACAAAATATTCATGGTTGTAGATCTGCTGGTATCAAACTGGGTACTTTTTCCAAAAAAGACCCAGGCATCATTCACCAGAGAGTATGCATCCAGCAACCTCCTTCTACAGATACTCTCAGACCAAGTCCAATGTAACTTTCCACAGCAGTCGATCCTCTTCATAAGGTTTTAATACTGTCCTTTCTGTAGCTGGAATCACAGAATGGGTCAAGATTCTCTGTCTTCTTTCCACTTGGGTTCCTCTGCAACAGTACAATCTGAACGTCTCCCATGGCAGTCCGCGTGGTGGCCAGACAATGCTGCCACTGTTCAAAACATTCTTCATTTGAAGCTGCCTTCAGAGAACCAAAATTCTTCCCAGTAAGAAAATCACTCTATCAGTTTACAGTTAGGCTTCACTTTTTAATTACAAATGGCATCATTAGCTTGATCATCTTCCTTAATCATCAGATTTTTTAGCTGTTTCCTAAACTTCAATCTGTCCTCAGAGACCAAAACTTCACAAACACTAAGTATATTCAAACATACTTGTTAGAGACTCTGAGAGCATACCACAAAGGCATTCCAGAAAGATTAGCAGCAACAGCACCCTCTGAACAGAATGCCCCAAGGAAGAAAACCCTCATAAGGAATGTAGACTAACAATATTAATAAAAATAACAGCTTATGTGTGTTCAGTAGTACTTTATATGCCTTGTCTAATTTAATCCTCAAAAGAATCCTAGGAGGTAAGATAAAGGTCTATTTGTTTAAACATCAAACACTATCATGTGGTCACACAGGTGTAATGCCCTCATATCAGAAAAGGCAAAAGTGAATTCCCCAAACTGATGCTGTGAATAGCTAACACCTCCCCTGCAACAGCCATCATCTCCTCAGAGGGTTGGTCTGACGGATCTGGCCCAATTTGGTGTTTTTCACACATTTTCAAGTCAGTTAATGTTTTGTCATTCCCGTATCAGTGTGCGTTTCCGTCCATATTAAGTAGATGCAAAGTCTATGGAATGGAAATAAGTACATTTTTAGCTCCTGAGAAATTCAAGTAAGACATTTACAATCCAAATTTAGTTCTATGGCTCCAAAATGACTTCTACTGTACCCTCTAAAGTAGAAGACACAAGAAACCAAATTTCAAACTTATCTTTGCCTCTTTTTTCTCCCATCAGGATTAGTGCAAAAAGGTAAGAAATGAAGACTTAATCCAAGAACCTATTCTTAAACAGCAATCTGAAGAGCCAAAATTTGGCACCAGATAGCTGTCTGTCTGTCTATCTATCTATCTAAACTACCTACCTACCTATATTTTAAAACCCGTGTTTCTTGAAAACCATCCCAGCAAATGGGATCAGCTACTTATTTTTAGCTTCTCCTTTATAGTGACAGAATCGCAGAAGAAGACAGCCATGTGAGAAGTGTTATAACCAAGAGTAAGACCAACAGCCCATCCCAAACCAGACACTCCGAGTCACGACTTCCAGGACTTCTGCCGTGACCGCGGGCTTTAAACCATTCTACCACCTCCTGGAGGTCAAACGGCTGAGCCTCATAACCTAGCTCCTTCCTGGCTTTCTCTAGGCTAAAATAATGTGTGACGCCCGTTTTGTAAACTTCAGTGCAGGTGAGGAAGGGCTGGAAGTTGTAGAGTCGACCCAAAATGAAGTAGGCTATCTCCGTGAGGACAGCAAAGCAGTAGATGAGGGCCAACGGCAGGCGGATGGATGGGAAGGTGTAGCCCAGGCCCTCAACCAAAGGCCGGAAGAACTCAAAGTTGTTCACGGGTCTGCCATCTGAGATGAAGTAGGGCTGCCCAGAGGCAATGTAGCCCTTCTCAGCTTTCAGGGCCTCTGAGGCCAGAATGTGAGCCTGCACCAAGTTATCCACATGGACAAATTCAACCAGGCTCCTGGGATCCCCAAACACAAACTTGAACAGGCCCCTCTCAACGTAGCTCACTACCCTGGGAAGATAGGTTTGTTCTCCGGGCCCATAGATGCCAGCTGGCCTCAGAGCACAGGTTCTCAAGATACTATTGCTTCTTTCCAGGACTGTACCATTGGCCTCCAGCACCTTCTTTTCTGCGATAGATTTGGTCCGAGAGTAATGATCAGGATAGAGGTGAAGAGGTAGGTAAGGCAGAGATTCATCTCCGTTTTTGATAACTTGGCCTCCGAAGATGACATTGAAAGTGCTAGTGTAAACTAATCTTGGCACCCCTCTCCTCCTGCAAGCCTGGAGCACGTTGTCTGTGCCTCCCACATTGACTTCTTCAATCAGGTTTCGATTCAGTTGCTCCCGCCCTGACATACCATAAGAAGCAATGTGGAACACACAAGTGACATCCACATCCTGGAAGGCTTTCTCTATGTCAGAGAGGTAGCGAATGTCTCCACGTATAAACTTGATTCCTTCTGGAATGGTTTGAGCAGGGCTGCTGATGTCAAGCAGAATCACGTGGACCCCCTTCTGGTTCAGAGCACAGCCCAGGCTGAGATGAGAAAGAGTAAAAATTAAATCAAATCACTAGTGAGCTATGCCTAGGAAAAGTGCTTAAAATAATTTACCCATCAATGTGGGCTGGATTCAGCCCACATTTCTTGGCTTATCCTGAGTCCCTCACTTTACATATTCATTGGTGCAAGTCTTACTTATGCAAATACTCAAAAATGAGAATCTTTACATCTGCTTAAATTACAATGAGAGAGGCTTTATATTCAAAGATGGTAGTGTCTACATGTTACATTTTTTCCCCTCTCTTCTAGGACCCACCACCAATTCTTTGGAATATTTATGAATGATAACATAACTGAAAGAATAGCTATTATTTTAAATTATTTTTGGTGACGTGAATAACCTCCCCTCCCCAATTTAACAGCTCTATATAGTATTTTTCTTAAAGTGTAATATATCTGTCGTTTTGAATTTCAATATCTGAGCAATGGGCAACATAGTTCATTTCTGGTTTAACATTATACAAACAAGTAAAAGTCAACATTGTATTAACATCACAGTTGAAAGCTATACTTTTTTCAGCAACTACCAGTAAAATCATCCCATGGGCCGATTTTACAGGGCATATTTTATAGATGCACTGACCGGAAACCAAAATAGCCACCTCCTCCCGTAATGAGGACAGTTTCCTCCGGAGATTTCTGGGAGTCCATATGTGGCAGTCAAAGATCACTGGACCTACGAGAAAGAAGTATGCCACACTGTTACGGATCCCTCTGAGCCTACTGCTGCATCTAAGAAGTGGAGCTGATAATAAGCTCACAGGCTTATGAAGACTGAGTGGGATAATGTATGAAATGAGATAGTGTATACATATATCCAGCAAAATGCCTGACATAGTATGGGTGCTCCATGGATGTCATTTTTCCAATTTCCTTTTCTTCAAGCTCTAGAGTTTGGGGATTCGATTATTCTATTACATTCCAACACACCACGATTAGGTCTCTCAAAAGCACAAAATGTCTGACAAGTTCTTCTGGACAACTGTACTAAGTAGATCAAATCGCCAGGAAAGCTAATCAGATGACTCAGGCAGAAATCAGTTGGTGTGACAGATGAAGAAAAGATTCAGCAAGTGACTGTCTCAGCGGCTTGAGGGTATGTGGAGGAGACAAGTGAGACGTATCAGGAAAAACTGAGCGAAATGGTGTGGAGGACGGCTGATGGATTCCAACAGTTTGCCTAAGCAATTGCCACAGTTGTGCTTATAAGAAAATTCACGAAGAATGAACGCACCAGCATCCCTTTAATATGCCTAACTGTGACCTTAGGATTCTATTATTTTCTGAGTGCAGAATGCTCCCATTTGGATTTGGAGTAGTCATAAAACCAAATGTAGTCAATTCTATTATTTAGCATAATCACATGACTTTGTTACAGATGCTGTCTCCAAACGCAGTGGATGTGAGCCACTGACATTTTAATCCAGACTTCTGACCTTCACCTCCACGAGCTGGTTGCAATCTCCCCCTCTGACTTCACCTCACACTCCTCCACCATCGGTCCTCTACCCTCCAACTACTGGACGCTCTTCCCTTTCCTTAGAGACGCTGAGCTCATTCGTGCCTTGAGACCGAAGCACCCTTCCGGTTTCGCCTCAGTGGGAAATCGCTCCATCAGATCTTCGCCTGGCTGCACCTTTCTCAATAGTTAGGTCTGCTCGAACGTGACTTACACACCTCAGAGAGGCTTCTCTCATCACCCTGTCTGAAAGGGCTCCCCCTTACCTTAAATGCTGCATTTCTTTTTTTGCTTTTACACTTTTGTTTTGAAACAGTGTTAGACAAAACAAGGGAATAAATAGAGAATGGATAAGAGGCAGAATCTCCATCCCCGGTCACACTGCCAAAGGGAGTTCTAGGGAAGAATCCTTGGGGGGCAGGTCTTCACTCTGCTGTGAGGTCTTCTCCACCTTCATGGCACATTTCACTCTCTCAAATGATTTGTCTACTTTTTTACTATTGATCTCCTTCGAACAGAACCGAGACCTTCTGCCCTTTTCACCAGTTTCCTACCAGCACCTGGAACACGGCAGATACTCGACAAGTATTTGCTGAATTTATGGATGATTTTGAACACCATGAAATACATCCACTATAGTGAAATTATGATGGGCACAAATCATGCAGGGCCCTGCAGTGTCTAAGAGTCACTGGTGTGTATGCCAGTGAACACTGTCATTTTAATTCAACTTATCTCCTAAAAAGTTCTGGGTTATGGAATGAAAACGACACAAGCTCAACGAGACAGAGTTCCTGCATTCTGGAGCTTGCAATGGAGGAGAGAGGCTTTTGCAAATATCTAAAGCACAAGGAAAAAGGGAGAAAACGAGATTACTGTTATGATGTTGGTATAAACAAGGTGCTGTGGGAGCACCGAGGTAGGGGTGAGGAGAACTGATTCTGAAGGGCAGACGAGTGAAGACTTCCCCGAGGAGTGTGCATTAGAGCTGACAGGACGATGGGAGGATTTGGGCAGGCTGAGGTGAGGTGGAGGTTTACCACAGGCTGAGAGAGCATCAGAGATGAGGGGAGGAGCCTCAGAGAAGGCTGTGTTCAGCAACTAAAATGGCGAGTCTGCTGTGGCTGGTGTGCAACCTGAACCAAAGCGAGTGTCTGGTGATTTGGGGCGGGAAGACAGCCTGGGGTCAGCTTGGAGACAGCTTTGAGTCCACTTTGCGGGAGTTTGAATTCTATTCCGCAGACAAGAGAAAGCCTTTGTACATTTACAGAAGGGCATGCTTACTTTGATCCCTGTCAAAAATCAAGCTTTCCTGGAGGAGGGACAGACTGGAAACAGGCAAGAGTCTAGGTAAGGGGTGATGAGGATCTGAGCCATCGGGGAGGACGAGGTGCCAGTGTCCTCAGCTGAAATCAGGATGAGAGCTGGCAAGTAACTCAATGAGGTGACAGCAGGCAGCGTCCAGGTGAAGTCTGAGGAAGGTGATGTCATTAAGTGAAAGAGCACACACAGGTTTCAGAACTGGTAAGTAGAATTTTGATTAATAGGATGCCATGTAACAAAATTTAAGATATTCTTAGTATCTCCATAAGAATTCCACTGTAAGGGATTCAGAAAATGGACAAGGCTTCAAAGAGTCCAATTAAGGAAATTCCAACATAAATTCTTCTTAATCTCTAATATTCTTTGTTTCTACAATTGCACATTCCAGTCCAGTCATAAGACCACAGGACAGTCATGGCTCATGTGCACATTAATCACGCTGGGAATGTACAAGTTCAAATTATTAATGCTTCAGGGTACCTGCCAGCTCTCTTCATGCGATTCCTCATTACCTTCCAACTAATACCAGAATGATCTGAGGTACAAACTTCTTTAACTGACCTGATTAGGAGGGTCAGACAAGAAAGGTGGCAAAGAGTAAGGATAAACTAATGATTTAGTGAGACAAATAGCACTACCAGCCAGTAACGGTACTACCCAGGGACAACCTCCTCACTTCCTGGCTCCCTACATCAATAAGCACAAAAAAAATCAGAGCAGACACATTTCGCAAAAAACCACAAGCAACTCCCATGAATGCTAAGTCAGAAGGGAGAGAAAGAATAGACACAGTCTTTCTTCAACCAGCTGCCTGATTTTTATACACTTTATGGCTTCTGTTTCATTAATTAGTTTCCATCTGATTCCTTCCCAGGCTGGGCACTCAGACCAGCGTTTACAATCGCAATTGCTTTAAGGCTCTTCCAAAACGAGGCTTTGTTCCATAATTGCTTTCCTCTGGGGGTGTGTGTGGTGGGTGTGTGTGGGTCACATCTGAGCTGAGCAGTCATTTTAGTGGATATAGGTTGAGGTTGAGTACATGATCAAGAAAAAGGAATCTTAATTACAAACAGGAAAAAATGAAATTTAAAATCTGCCCGACTTTTTGATAATACTAAGATAAAGCGAGGGCAATAAAGCTGAGCTATCACAGGGAAGTTATGAGAATAAACTCATAAAAATGAGGAGGAGTACTTTAGATTTATCAAGACCTAAATAAATGCTAAAGGTCAGTTATAAGAACCTTAGATTATGCACACAGTTCCTTCATCCCACGAGTCCAAGATGACGACGCTACTAACTCCCTGGTCTTATAATGCGATACATGAATCTAGGTACCCCTAGAGTATGGAACAGAGGAGAATTGAAGACTGCTTTCATAAAAATAAAAATTTACTGTATTTACTTTAAGGAAGATACAAATATCTCCAGGTAGTTTAACCCTATGAAGGCGTGTTTTAAAGCCCTGCCCAAGTACTGACTAGAAGCCAAAGGTAACTGTGGTCTGACTGTATTGACATGAGGAAAATACATTGAGGCTAGAGGGCTTAGAAATGGTGCTGTTCAAATTCCACGCAAGATCTGAAAATTATTTGTGTTTAACATAAAGTAGTCAAAGCAATAAAGATGAAGAAGTGGTTAGAGATGATAAGGAGAGTAACTCTGATACAGGTAAAAAGGATGTGAGGTACAAAACCAAAAACGCCAAACACATTTGGGAAGAAAATTAACTATGCGCATAGCATCAAATGGGAATTCAACATACTCATCACATAGGGGTATTTGCACACACTGTTTGAAATATAACCAAGGTGGCAGGGCAGATAATTCTCATCACCTTAGGTGTATCAAACCTTCTTGTCCAGCTAGCCACTCACACTCCATTTACCCACACATTTGTTGCAGAAAAGATCCTTGCAATTCTTCACAATGCTTATGACAAAAGTAATTAAATAATTTTCTAATTGGTATTTCCCATCTGCTTCCCAAACTACCACATAAACTCCATGCAAGCATAGCCCATTTCTCCAAGAATATCTCCAGGGACGAGGAGTATCTAGCAGATTGTGGACTCAGTAAACCCAAATGGAATGAGTACTCTGCAACCTTTTCAAATGCCCCTTTCTGCTGTATTGGCAAGGAGTACTACACTTGTATTTCCTCTCCTCTCTAGGTCAGCGTGTCTGCCCTTCAACACTGCAAAGTAATAACCGCCCCCATTTATTAAGCACTTACTGTGTGCCAGGCATTGTGGCTAGACCCTTTCCATGAATTATTTCCACTGATGCTCCTAACACCCCTCTGCGATGAGTACTTATTTGTTATTAGTACAGCAAATAAATGGTAGAGCAGGGATCTGTACCCACTGGAACCCAGGTCTGTCAGATTCCACAGCTTATGTCTCAATCACAACAGGCAGCTGGGGCTGTGCAGAGTCCCTTACCTGAAGCAGCGAGTCTATGGTGACCTGAGTCCCGTGGGGGCTTTCACAGCTAACATATTCTGCAACCTCGTAGGGGCCCCTCCAATTGCTGGAGGGGCAGGGAGGAGGCACCCCATCTCCTCCCATGAGCCAGGGGTAGTGGGGATGCAAGGTTAAGCTTCCTAGATTAGAAATCAGAAAATCTGGGTCCCAGACTTGGCACTCTCACCAACTTCTTGCGCCCTCCTGGGCGAGTCACTGAACCTCTTTGATCCTCTTTCCTCCTCGCTAACATGAAAATAACAACTATGGCTACATTTATTACTTAATATGGGCTAACTGCTTTCAAGGCTTTAAAGGTTTACCATTGAAGCCTCAGGACAATCTTCTGAGGTAGTTATTATTATCCTCAGCTTTTCAGATACTAGGAAAAAAGGCTCATAAATTAAGAAACTTGCCCATGTATATATCCGAATTAAATGAAATCACTATCACAAAAAGATCTCTATCTGCACCCCCACATCCATTGCAGCATTATTCACAATAGCCAAGACATGAAAACAACCTAAATGTTCATCAACAGATTAATGGATAAAGAATATGTGGTATAGAGTATATGTACAATGGAATATTATTCAGCCATAAAAAAAAGCAAATCTTGCCATTTATGACAACATAAACAGACCTTGAGGGCATTATACTAACTGAAATAAGTCACACAGAGGAATACAAATACTGTATAATCTCACTTATATGTAGAATCTTAAAAAGCTGACCTCGGGGCTGGCCTGGTGGCGTAGCGGTTAAGTGCACGTGCTCCGATTCGGCGGCCCGGGGTTCGCAGGCTCGGATCCCGGGCTCACAGTGACGCACTGCTTGTCAAGCCATGCTGTGGCGGCGTCCCATATAAAGTAGAGAAAGATGGGCACAGATGTTAGCCCAGGGCCACTCTTCCTCAGCAAAAAGAGGAGGATTGGCATCGGATGTTAGCTCAGGGATACTCTTCCTCAAAAAATAAAAAAAGCTGCACCCATAGAAACAGAGTAGAATGGTGGTTACCAGCGGCTGAGGGGTGGGGGAAATAAGATGGTCTAAAGGTACAAACTTCCAGTTATAAGACAGAATAAGTTCTGGGAATCTAATATACAGCATGGTGACTATAGTTAACAATACTGTATTACGTCCTTCACAGTTGTCAAAAGAGCACACCTTTAAAATTCTCATCACACACACAAAAATTCTAATTATCTGAAGTGACAGAAATGTTAACTAACCTTATTGTGGTGGTTGTTTCACAATATATATGTATATCAAATCATCGTACACCTTAAAATTACACAATGTTATAATGCCAATCATATCTCAATGAAGCTGCAAGAAAAAAAACTAAAACAAAACCAGGGCAGCCCAGTGGCATACCTGTTAAGTGGGCGCACTCTGCTGCAGCCGCCCAGGGTTCGGATCCTGGGTGCACACCCACCCACAGCTTCTCAAGCCATGCTGTGGCGATGTCCCATATAAAGTACAGGAGGATGGGCACGGATGTTAGCCCAGGGCCAATCTTCCTCAGCAAAAAGAGGAGGATTGGCGACACATGTTAGCTCAGGGCTGATCTTCCTCTCTCTTTCTCTCTCTCTCTCTCTCTCTCTCTCTCTCACACACACACACACACACACACACACACCGGCCCACAATTTATGCAGGTCATGAATGGCTGATCAGGACCCAAAGCTTGAAACCAGGTCTGCAGGACTCCCCAGATGGGTTGGGACAATGCAGTGTTGCTTACTTAACATTTTCACAATTTCTGTCACACCTGGAACTTCTAGTACTATTACGTTTTATTTAAATCTACTTACCATTTTACAAGAAATACATTCATTTTAAATGCGAACCTTACATAGCCACCTTAAATAGGAAACCAGAATCATCTGTCACAGACAAGGTAATCTTGCCGAAATCGGAGACGCAAACAGAAGATATGAATCAGTCTAACTAGTTACAGATGCCTGTTGAAAGCTTTGAGCTTGGCGCCTGCTGTCTTTTAGAAAAAGAAAAAGAGAAACCGAGGCCAGCCAGCGTTTGAGGCCTTCGCGACGTTCTGGAAAGCCACGCTGCGCCCCGGCTCCCAGGGATGTGCAAGAACTGAAGAGGGGAGGATGTTCCCGCCACCAGAGCCGGCGATGCGCCCAACCGCGCCGGGTACCACCTGCCGCCGGGCTCGTCCCGCCCGCGCGGCCACCCCGCGGCGACAGGCGGGCTCGCTCTCAGCGGCCCCGACGCGCGGTCGAGGCCGCCAGCCCGGCCCCGGTCCCCCCGGGCGCCACCCTCCCGACCCCACCCCACTCACGGTGGCGGCAGACGACGGCGGACGGCGCCAGGCCGGGGAACCCAGACCTTATGTGCCTGCCGCCGCCCCCGCTCGGCGCCCCGGCTCCGCGCCCGAGCCGTCGGACCGGCCTCCTGGAGCTACCTCTGGGCCTCTCTAGGAAGCCCGGAGGCCTCGGCATCTCTATGATGTGCAGGTTTCCCGTCCACCGTCACCTATGCTGAGGCAGCAGGTTCACTCCATGACTCACACTCACGTGCTCGACCCATGTGTTCCACCTTCGCGAGAGATCTTTTGAGGTCACGTCTACTGCTATTCCCACCTCAAATATCTGCCATTAGACTTCCACCTCTGTCTTTGTGTACTCCCAACGCTGAACACAAACAGCGCCTGATAAACAAGAGGGACTCAGCTCAATCAGTATTGCCTGAATGGATGGATGATGGATGGATGGGTGAGTGGTTGGATGGATGGGTGGGTGGATGGATGGATGGATGATGGATACATGGGTGAGTGGATGGACAGATGGAGGATGGATGGATAATGGACGGGTGGATAATGGATGAGGCTCCATGAGACTCCTGAATATTCACTCTCCATGTATTTTCTTAAGCCTCTATTTATCTCTGTGTTTCCACATTTATGTGTGTCCATATGTCTTCCTGTGTCCCTGATTTTCCCTATTTTTTCCAGTTCCATTTCTGGTCACTGAGCAGGCAAGGATGGCAAGACTAACCTTTGTTGCTGAAGAAACCAAAGGCTTAAAAGCCATGTAGAAAAGAAGGTTGACATCCTCATTCAAAGGTCTCCCTGAGAAGCCCATCTTTTGTCTCCGCATCCGGAGTCTAGTTCTGTGGAAAGTTGCAGGCTCTGTGTAGACGCACACACGAATTGACCCCTGGCTGAGGAAAATTTCATTTTGTTGGCTCGAGGATGGAGATTTTGACTTCACATGCTGCTCTTGCTGCATTCAGACTCAAAGAGTTTCATATGAAGTATGTCATTTACTGCTAAGTTTTCGCTAAGAACATAAAGTCACAGGGACAGCCTCAAGCCCTGAGATACAAAAATGAATGAAGGCCAGGTGAAGAAAGCTAAGTCCCCAGCATTGGCCTCTCTGGACTTGTCCATCTGTCTTGTCTTCTGCTGTGACCCAGCCATAAGTCTTCAGAAACTGAGATATGGTTTTACCAAGTAGTCTTAAGGAAGAGCTTTGCTTTAGCTGCCCAGGATGCACAAAGATTAGAAGAGAGGAAGAGGAAGGACAGTGAGGGGCCTGGGAGACCAGCTTCGTGCTCTTGGGACCAGTAGGCAAGGAAGAAAAGACTCCTCTGAAGATGCAGTACAGAAGACAGATTTCCTTTGGGGGATTTCAGGATCTTCTGAGGGATGCCAGATTACTGCATCTTGATAGCACATATGCCACATCTTCTGAAGTGTGGCAAATTTAAATGTTAATATTCTTGTGCCACCAAGGACTCTTTTAAAATCTAAGCACATATGTTTTATTTATTTATTTATTTTATTTTTTTTTTTT